GTGTCCCATAACTTCATTTTTTTCTATACGATTTTAATATACGATATTTATTGTTTTAAATGACAAATATAAATAAATATATATAAAATATAAAATAAATAATATATATATATACGGTGAACCCCAGAAACACGAGAAACAGATTCCATAGGATTCATGTTCCAATTATTTCACCCAAAAAAAGTATCAATGAGAAGATGATCTTTAATATATCCTAAATATTAGGGTGTCCCATAACTTCCTTTTTTTCTATACGATTTTAATATACGATATTTATTGTTTTAAATGACGAATATAAATAAATATATATAAAATATATATATATACATATGTATATATATGTATGGTGAACCAGGAACACGAGAAACAGGTTCCAACCACGAGTACCGTAGATCCTTAAGACATCATTGAAGCGAATGGTAACCAGCTTCGGCCGTTGGTCAGGATTTCACTGTAAATGTCAACCGACGGAACGTAAAACGTCTCACCGATTTGAAGGAAAGTCGTTCGTTCGGCAAGAGTTAAAAAAAAAAATAAATAAGTAAGTAAAAAACAAATAAATAAATAAATAAATAAATAAGTAAAGAATGTAAAATAATGAAAGAATGAAAGAGAGAGAGAGAGAGAGAGAGACTCGGACCACTTACATTGCGTGCATTTCACGCGTGTGTAACACCTGAGAAAACTGACGAGTCGTGAAATCTGCACTGCTGATTGGTCCAGCACACATACACATATATATATATATTGTATGTACATTTAAATCTTTCGAAAATAATACAATCATACGTATAAGTATGAGACCTATGATGTTTCTTATAAGAAATATTCTTACACCAAAGTATATTTGTGTGCAAATGTGTGTGAGTTAGAATATGCGAAACTTGTGTCGTCGAACAAACAAGTGCAACTAGGCGATAAATCGATATTGTTATGGTGGTGCCATGGAATACGAAAATCGTAAACTTTACAGATACCTCAAGAGTAATCATTTCAAGCACGGTAACCTTTTGTTTATGATATTTCACTTTCTATATGACCAGATTCTACCTATATACGTGTGTGTGTGTGTCGTGTACCTAAAGAACATTGGAATCGCAAAATTCAAACTCAACTCCTGTCTCTTTCCTTTTCATCTCTTCCTTTCCCTTTACCCCCTCCCCCTCCTCATCCTCCTCCACCACCTCCTCATTTTATTCCACCTTTTCTTTCTCTTTTTTAAATCACCTTCGCCATCACCTTCTTCTTCTTCTTCCTATTATTATTATTATTATTATTCTGATTCTTATTTTTCTTCTATTTCTATTCGCTTTGTTACATTCTGATCCTTTTGAATATCTATGCACCTACGCACCTATGAATGTGTACATGTATCTGTTTGTGTGTGTGTGTGTGTTAGAATTGGTATAGGATTTTTTGTAAAACCAGAACTCGTAACTTAAAATCAGTTAGTTTATATTTAGAAAATACGGAAAGTTAGTAGAGTAACGTATGCGTAATATATGTATGTATGTATGTATATATGTGGTGTGTCTAATTAATGCGACTATTAACACGATTACGCGATCAACAGTACGAAATGCTATCTCTTTCTCTTTCTTTCTTGTACACGCATACACACGTAAACATTTTTCCTCGTTCGTTTTATTTATTCTCTTTATCTTTTTTCTTCATTTTTTTTATTTTTTTATCTACAGGACAAGTTATTACGCAAAGCCGGAAATTATTGGTGTTTTTTTTTTTTCTTTTCTTTTTTTTTTTTTATATCAACGAGATATTAGTATATATCGAATATAACGGTATCGATATATGCCAATGACATAAATTCTCTACGACTCGTTTTCATACGCACTTAAAAGTTTTTTTCTTTTTTCATTTTTTTCTTTTTTTTTATATTTGACACAGAGAGAGAGAGAGAGAGATTTTTTTTTTTTCGAGAAAAGAAAAGAAATAGAAATTACATACGAGTTTGCACAACAAGATCGAATACATTTTTACAAAAGTGTTACGTCAATATAAATAAATAAATAAATAAATGAAAAAAGAAAATTGTAAAAATACCAAAAAAGTGAAAAAGAGAGAAAAGTCGTAATTTAATGTTATGGAAATTGCTTGTATACTGAAACGAATATTTTCACCCCATAAAAATGGCGTCAAAAGTATTGTTCCCCCATCCACATCTACCGACCCCATAACTTCACGAAAAAAGTACGAATATTCTGTGACGAACAGGACGAGCTTATCTCAAACCCCCATCGTTATTGGGAAAATGCAATTCCTTCACCTCACCCCACCTCCCCCCCCCCTTACCCTAACTCTTTTTTATTTTATATCAGACGAAACAAAAATTCTAATTCGTTTTTTTTTTTTTTGCAAACATATAGCTGTCACTAACACGATATCTAAAAATATAAATATCTTATTTTATCTCGTATTTGATTAAACATTAATTTAGTATATATATTTATTTGTGTTATAAATAAATAAAAAATAAAGTTAGACAGTTGAAGAGAAAAGTATATCGGATAATTTAGATCGATCTTTTGATCTACCCCCCCCCCTCCCCCCTCCCTATCCCTCCACACCTTTTACCGTCTCCTATTACATTCGCGTAGATAATTCAAAACGATTAATCTAAATGAAGCCCTTACCAACAAGATATCTCTACACATTTAACCAATCTAATTTCAACCCCTTTTTGCACGCACACACGACTCACCCTTTCATAATACTCTCATTCTCTCATTCTCTCTCTTTTTATCTCATATAATCTCATCTAATATTTTTCATAATAAATATATAATATCTTATATCATCCTAAATATCAAAATGCAATAAATATTAAGATAATAAAAAAAACATTTTCACATACATACATACATAGAAACACAAGTTAGATAACCCCATAAGTATTACTAAATCTGTAATAATACCATAATTATTCTAAATCGAAATGATTCACACGTATAAAAAAACATTGACAAAAATTGAACAAGAAAAAAAAAGGTAACATTTAATAAAATATATGAAACACATAAAAAGAAATAAAAACAATGAAATTTCGTATAACTTTTTAAAAAGTTTAAAGAAGATATATGCCATCTCAACGATCCTTTAGAAGAAACATTATCTATCTATCTATCTATCTATCTCTCTCTCTCTCCCAGTGCACGAAACATAATCGTTTTTGCAGTCGGTCCGGTTCTCCGGTCAGGTACCGACCTACCGGAACGCGAGGAACCCGCCCAGCACCAGCACCAGCACCACCAGCACCAGAACCAGCAGCATCATCCATCGTGAACGGAAAGGTACGAAATGCTGGAATGAACAGCGTGCCGGTGACGGTATGCCAATGCTGCGTTGTTCAACGGAAAAGGGGTATGATTCAAGTAGTGGGGGGTGGGAGGGGGTATAACGAATAAGAACAGGAAGGTAGGGGGAAAGTCGAACGGGGAGAACGTGGTTTGAACCCCACCAAAGGTTTTACTAAAGAATGGTAGGGGAAACGTGGTACTGGTGATGCTGTTGGCAGGAGAAGGTACAACGTAATCCAATGGCGTAAACATTAACAATATGACGAACTATACCTATCCAAATGGTTGCTACAAATAAATCGAGTTTACGCCAATGACGAAGAAGCCAGTTTCAACGATTTCCCCCACTACTTTTGTACGCCCCACCCTATTGGCAACAGCAACGGCGGTGGCAACGGCGGCGACGGCGGCGGCAAATGTGACGGCTATGACGAGGACTATGACGACCGTGACGACGATGACGGTGACGGTGACGGCGTTTTAGTGGCGTCGAGGCGCCCCTTTCAGTACGAAGCCGACGACCGGGCCAGCTGCAACCGTTGCACCTGTCGTCCCGTTTCTTCCTTATATTCTTCTAACCTTTTATTATTCTTATTCTCACATTATTATATTCTTATAATATTTCTTCATTTTTATCTTTTTATTATAATTATTTTACTTATACCTTTTTTTTCCTTTTTTTTTTTGGTTTTGTTTGTTTGTTCTTTTCCTTTCTTCTTTTTATTTATTTCACTTTTGTCTTTTACCTATCTCTGTCTTTCTATTTCTCTTGGACCATAAAACGCGACTTTCGGACACGAATTTGTGTTAAACTCGACGTGTATATCTTTTCATCCAAGATAAATTTAATTATTCATCGTTAAGTTGTTAGAAAAATGAATAATGAAACACGTGAAGATATATTATCATAAAAATATTATATACTCTATCCCTATATTCGTATATATAATATATATTTAATTAATATTCTTTCTTTTTCTTTTTTTCTAAAAAAAAAAAGAACACACACAAAAAATACACACGCGGGTGATTTTAATCGTCGTATTGTTTTGTGCCGCGAGTAAATTAATCAGTGAGGAAGAAAATGAAAAAGGAAGAAGTATGGTTAATGTTAGTGAAGGATAAAATAATTCCAACGAAAAAGGACAATTTCAATGATGGCAAATCTAAACGGGATAAAAGATATTTAATATAAATCCCATAATCAAAAATATCCTATTTCTTTTAACTATTATTATTATTATTATTCTTTCTCTCTATCTCTATCTCTCTCTTTCTCTGTTTCCTTTTTTCCAAAATATTTAAATATACGATTAAAAAAATTCGGTTGTATATCGTCGTCGTGATCTATTCCCATGTTGTGAAAAACTTTACCAGTTAAAATAAGTTGACGAATAATCTCGTTGAAAAGAAAAGAAAAAAGGGAGGAAGAAGAAGAAAATAAAAAAAAGGGGGGGTCTGGTTAAGAAGATAAAAGAAAAAGAGTATCATCTTTTGATCGTTTGCCGGCGCATCTTTGGTGATTCGAGGACGAAGCTTGGTTGGATAGAACGGGCAGCAGCCGTGTGCCTACGGTGAGTCCTTCGACGATAAATTCCAGCCTCCCGGAGCCCGAGGGTCAAGAGCGGTCAGACCTCTCGCGCGTCGCGACACGTAGACTGGTTTTCAAAGCATCTACTAGGGCCCTTAACTCAACTCGCGATTCCTCATTTTATTTTTTCAATCTTATTCCTTAATTATTCATCGATTTAACATTTTATATTTGTCACATCTCTCAT